AAAATGTATGAAAACTATAAATTATCACCAGTGTCAAATGCTCATCACAAACTAGTCTTTCATCTAAGTGGATATAAATATTTTTTAATAGATATTAGGAAAAATAAGAAAGTGTATGTTTCCAAACATACAGAAGCTCAAAGAAAAAAACCTTTAACCATGGATTGGATTTTATAATTTCACTGCAAACTTTCTTTTTTATTCCTATTTCTCATTTCAAAAACAAAGCAAACAACCAAAAAAGCACATTACATATATGTTGAATAGGATACCAGAGAGCATCAAATCAGCAAAAATAGAATGCATTAACTTTTATACGTCACTGGCTTATGATTTAGAAAAAGTAAAGTCAGAGCTCTGTCTCCGTGTACCCACGATAAATCTGAGGAAGTCCTTTCTAAGCAGAAAAGCACACGAGAAAATGTAAAAACAGGAAGATCGAAATAAATAAAAATTCAAAACTTCCTTATGCCCAGAAAGCTAATGCGACAAACTGGGAAATGTATACAAGGATTAGCAAGTTAACATATTTATACTATTTAAGGCGCTGCACAAGTTTTTAAAGACTGAATGAGTGAAAGAAAATACAACATCCCAGCAGCAGAAAAAAGACACAAAAAGGAAATTCACCAAAGTAAATATAAGTGTGCAAATAAACAAAAATACTTACCTTTACTAATAAGCAAAAACTGTTACTTCAAATAACTCTATCTACTTAGTGCATAGTAAAACAATTATTTTAAAAGAGGTACAAGTGTAGGAAAATGATCACTCATTTACCTCTAGTGAGTACTCAAAAAAAGGTGACAAAAACCTTCCCGTGGAGGGAGTCGGACAATAATTTGACAATGTCTTTAAAAAAAGTGTACATCTTTGACAAATTTTACCCTTTAGTCCAAAGGATATAAGCAGAGGTATGGAGCAGAATTACAAGCAAAAATGTAAAAGCCCCCAAATAAGGAAGACTATGATATGGTACAGCTATTTGTTACAATGAAAACACAAGGTTCATGTTTTAGAAGAATAATAAAATGAAATGTTTTCTGATAGTTTAAATGGATAAAATATACTATGAATAGCACATAAACTATGATACCACTTTGTTTAAAAAAAGTATGAGTACCTACAGAAAAATTGATATGTTTTACTATATTTTATAAAAGTTCTAGAATATATTGCATTTATAACAAAAAACTCTTTATAGTTGTGCTAATTTATAGGTAAGAATCATCTTTGTGTCCAGAAGCACTTCAGCATGCTCATATATTGGGCCGATACTAACTGTTTCAACAACAAAAGTCATTTAAATGTTCTCTATTATGTTTCACTTAACAAAAAGATCCATTTTGATGCTATGATAATACTATAAAGTGTGTAAGAACCAGAAAAGGGGCCTAACGACCCTACTGGATTAACCCAGGGGGACAACCTTGGGCAAATTACCTTTCTCAGTCTTTTCACATCCAGGAAACAGTATAATAGGGAGGTACCCTAGCCTATATTCCTCATCAGCCTTATTGTGAGAATTAAATAAGATCACAATGATTAGTCAAGTCCATAAGAATACTAGATAATTAAAAAGAAAAGTGACTAACCTCTGATGCCTGTATACAGGTATTAAAATATAACATGTACCCTAAAAATATGTACAACTGTTGTATATCAATAAAAATAAAAAGAAGCTCTGGGTACATCAATAAATGAAATGTATTTCTAGTTAAAATAAAAAAAAAACCACATAGAATAAGCATTTAGCTTTTTTTTTTTTTTTTTTAATAGTTTCTAAGACATCTTCCTCTGACACTTTGTCATAGACTTCAGGGAAATAAAAAAAACTCAGTGTGTTTCAGGTGTATATCCTCAGGAAGTAAAGCAATCTTTTTTCATGTCCCCGTCAGTGATGGGACCAATGCCTTCAACATAATAGACGGATGATTGATACTTGAAATATTAAATTGAAATTGTTTAAAGTATAAATCAAGACAATAGTGACTAATACTACTTGCGATTAGGACTGAAAAATCTCGGCGATGTATGATGTATAGGAAAGCACCTGGGTATCCGTTCTTGTCTATGTCTGTCGCGCCTTTCATTGAGTAGCCGAAGCTGGGGGGCATGCTTCGAGCAGCCCACTGCCCTTCCAGGATTTGAGATGGTGCTGCGTTCAAGCCTGTTGACCTTCCATTAAAGATATATACAATTCCTTTTTTATCTTCACCCCCATATGGAGCAGCAATTGCAATATCTGTGGGGCAAAATGAGGAAGAGAAAAAGAGAAGAAAGAAAAGCAGGAGGAGGATGAGGAAGGATGGAGAGAAGAGAGGGAAGAGGACAGGAAGGAGAGAATTGTTTACTTACAATTATTTATATGGAGATCTTAATATTTACAAAATCCATTTATCAAGATAAATACTGATTCAAAGTTCAATAGGGAACTCTTCGTGCAGAAGGACCAATGTAAATCAAGGAAATTCAAGCAAAACTGTATAGAAGTGATACTAATTTAGAGCCAGAGATTCTGGATCTGACCTTAGATAAATCACTTAACCTTTCTGGACCTCAAATCTTTCATCTTTATAATTAGGGAGGGGGGAGGTGTGGGAGGAAGACAGCAAATGTTCATCTACAGTTCATTTTGGTTCTCAAAACTTTAGTTAATTTATTTATGCATTTGATTTTTCTGAAAAGAAGTCAATCTGGCTCAGGAATTTTAAAGTTAGGATTTCATCTTGATCTTGCTCAACTTACAATAAGGTTTTAAATGAAGAAAACGATCCAACACCAAATAACCTTTTCTATCTCTAAAATATACGTTCTTCTCCCTCTGTGGCTACCACCTTAGACAAACCATCACTGCCATCCTATGAGGTCTGGCAATTAAGTTCACAAACTTACCACCATGAGCTTACACTGGCAGCACCGTACAAAAAACAGGGAAAGGTTTCATACCCTTGGTGTATCAGTAACTCACAGCTGCCTTTGTGTTGATGTGGCTGTGTCTTGCTAAGTGGCATTCATTGTTCTTGCATGCTTTTGTGTGCTGTATAATGATGGCTCTGATGGTCATTACAGAAAAAAAGCACTGGCTTTGGTGCACACACCTTCCCAAGGGGAGTAACGCCATAGGTGACCATGGTGGTATTCAGCAATGAGGTATGTGGCACTTTTTCCAGAATGAGTTCATGAACTTAATTGTCACATATATGTAACTACACATCATAGACAGATAGAAATAAATGGACATATATATAGCTAATTTCCCACGGAAGGCATTACCTACCAAATCTCCTTTGGGACAGTAAGACCCAAAGGAGAAACCCTGGGAGACCAGAATCATCCTCTATGGTATTGATTTTAAAAAGTAAAACCTCTCTGTAAAATCTTCATAAAACTTCACTTTTTTTTAGCTCTTATTCACATTTGTTATGTTAATAGACAATATATTTCAATAAAAAGAAAGTAGCATGATATTAAGAAAACTCTGTTAAAGTGGCTGTGGAACCTTAAGATATGGTGATAGGTCTTCCCGGAAAACCTTGGGGTCAGAGGCCTTGCTATATGACAAAGAACTCCCCAACTTTATTTAGAGTAGAACCTTAGACCTGGCTTTGTATTTTCTAGGTAGTTTCAGTTATCAGTAAGTAGTGATTTGGTCTATTCTATAGTTTTCTGTTCACGTTTTATTATGAACTTTATACTACTGCTTGACTTGCTCTCTTGATGATACAAAATACAGTATTTTAGGAAGCAAAATGTACCTTTGAGTAGTTCTTCACTAACATTGAAACTTCTTGGGTTAATCTTAAAGATGACATTTCTAGTCCATGACATATCTACTCAAAAGGCAGGTGTGGAATCTAGAGGCCAAACATTTCCTTTTCTACTACTATTTGAGGCATGTAAATCGTCTATAATTTTGAAGTTTTCTTCTTAATACAACCTTTCTTTAAATTTTAAGGGGACTAAGGTCTATGATATTGCTGTTTATACAAACAGTACAACCTCTCCATCTGCCATCTGTACAAAGATTTTTAATAGTATCTTTTAAAAAAATCTTGGTAATTTTTTACCAATATTTCATGTTTCTGAAAAGAGTTCTATAGTCAAAGCCAACTTTATTTTATAAACATAATGACAGCTATTGAAATGGGACTATTATAAAACAATGGGCTTAGCACTCTGGGATGCTGAGATGGGTGGTTTGCTGGAAGTCAGGAGTTCGAAACCAGCTGAGCAAGAGTGAGACCCCTGTTTCTAAAAACTAGTCAGGTGTTGTGGCAGGCGCCTCTAGTCCCAGCAACTCGGGAGGCTGAGACAAGAGGATCACTTGAGCCCAGGAGTTGGAAGTTGCTGTGAGCTGTGTGATGCCATGGCACTCTACCAAGGGCAACACAGTGAGACGCTGTCTCAAAAATAAATGAATAATACAGCAACGGGCTTATGACTTTTAAGGGACCAATGAAGAAAAACATAACTGCCATCAAAACATCTCAGACAGCCAGGACAAAATTATGCCTTTAAAAATATTAATGGCTTGTCTGCTAGTTGACTGGTAAATTAAAAAAAAAACTAAAAAATCTTCAAACATTAAAAATATACAGCAATGGCAAAGCATAACTGTGAGGTTTGCGTTAGAGTCAGAATTGCCTTGACAATGTGCCAAAGTGTGTTTTTTACAATTGTAGCCAAATAGCCAGCAGAGGGCACTGCTGCCGAGCAGGACACAGAGACCCATGCTAATCACAACCTTAGCACTCAGCTGGCTCCGTGGGGATGAAATTTCCTTTTAGAAATTAATTGTTCTGACACACTAATTTGAGGCTGCATGAATAATAACTCATGTGAGTCAATTTTTGAAAACTCTGATCTGAGTTTTAATAAAAAATCAAAATGGAATCTGTCTTTAAATTTGGTGTGTCACACCCAATCCATCTTTCCCAGGAAGAAGGTTTGCCCATGTGAACTTTTACACATGCAGTCATGGGACTTTCCAGGTGAACATGGGTAATCAGGGACACACAGTTGCTGTGCTTTAATCTTACCATTGAAGCCGTCCTGGTCCAGATCTCCCAAAGGAGCTATGGCACTGCCGAACCGTGCAAAGACCTCAAACCCATTCAGCTTTGTCGTCTGGAAGTCTCCAGAAGCTCTTTGCAGAGACACTGAGACCTGCCCCACCTCTTGGAGTTTGCCATCAGAGCCACGATCCATGAACAAAGGTGCTCCAATGAACACATCTGCATAACTAAGAGAACACAATCTTCTCACCAAAGCCAAGATCATAGTCCATCTATCAGTAGGCACTTTCTTTCCTATTAAAAACTGTTTCCTTCTTTCTGCTCCTCTCACAGCCACACTGAAGCACAAAATGATTACCATAGCAGTCATTTTAAATTCAAACCTTCCTTTAATTCTTTCAAGAAACTGAGTAATTCATAACTTTTTTTTATCTTTTCATGTTATAAAAGCTATTGAAAAAAGTTGAGACCAACATGGGGGTTTTCTAACCCTGGTGATTACAGTTGCTTCAGATTGCTTCCTTACAGAGAAAGATTAGCAGGATGGGTCCAGACAAACAAAAGAAAGAATGTTTAGTTTTAGTAAAGCGTTCATAAACAGGAGAGGAAAACTGTTTCTGGAAACATTTTTTTAAACTTACTCATCCCCATCAATGTCAGTGGCAGCTACAGAAAATCCAAAATAGGCAGCCATCTGGATAACAAGATGAAAATGAAATGTTTATGTCTCATCCAACCAGTTTAGATAATTAACATTTGTAGTACATGTATCAAAGTGAAAAGGTTTTGGTTTTTTTTATTTTCCTATATATACAGTGCTTCAAGCTAAATTTCTTCTCTTTTGTTTATTCTGACAACACAATGACAACCAGGTCATGAGGCTTGCTTGTTTTCCTAGGGTATAGTGAAGACATATTCACATATCATTTCAGTATCATCAACACATGCCACTTAAGCCCAAGTATAAGTAATTCTCTTTCCAAAGACTGGCCTAATCTCTCTTTCTTCCCATTCCCCAAAACACATCAGACACAGGTATACAAACAGAAAGATATGCAGCTACAGACACATATTTTAATTAAACCCAAAAAGCTATATATAAATGCCTATGCAGTGAGGATAACAGATAATAATTATTAATGATAGATAATAATGAGCTCTCCCTATGTGAAATTACTACTACTCTAAAGAAACTGCTGTTTGTAAAAATGTGGAGAGAACTCAACTTTATCTTTCACCTCATTCAGTAACTTGTCCAATGGTTTTGCTTTTGAATTACATACAGTACAAATGTGTTTGTTATGAGCTTAGGATGCATATAGAGAAGGAATGTCTTCTCCCCTGCCCCAGGGGTACACTGGCTATCACAGACATAGAAACCCAGGTGGAAATTAATGTGAAAAAAGGAAGTTCTAAAGAAAGCCCAACATGCAAAACAAAACTGAGAGAGATGACAGATTAAATACAAACTAAGGTGGAGAATGAGTCAAACCAAAACGAAAGGAAAGTTAGGAATTCTTCCAAAATTTGACTAGCTCAGATATCAGGAGGGAATGGGAAGGGAGATTCCCGCATTACCTATTTGGAGTTGGCACAATGTAGCTGAAAAAAATAAAAGGTGTGTTCTTGTATTCGATGACAAGATGGGAGCCCATGGAACAGTGTACTGTGTTTGGGGATGTTGATGTGCTGACTGGAATGTAATGGAAAATATCCAGGGGCCTTCGTCTCCTAGGGTGTTTGGCCCGAAGGTATAAAGAAAGAATGCCATTACTGAGACAAGTTTTGTCTTGTACCCTATGATAAAAAAAGTTTTCATGGGATTCTTACAACTACCCCAGGAGGAAGTTATCAGCCTCCTTACTGGTAAAGATAAGGAATCAGATTCACAGTGGTAAACACCTTGTCTAAGGCAGTAACAGACTAAGCAGAGACAGTTCAGGTTTGTCTTCATCCAAAACCCCTTTCCCTCTCCGTGCTCCCCACAGTGGAGGAGGAGTAAAGCAAGCATCACTGACCACATGCAATAGGGTTCAAAGACAAACACAGACACGAGACGGGAGAAGCTGCTTGACCTAACAAAGTCAAACGGCAGAGACCAGCAGCCTAGCAGCGATGCTACCTGCCTTTCAGCTATCGCCTCTCCAAGTTCCACATCAGCCCTGGCGGCCACACAGACGGGAAGAGGTTTCCGGGCACGCTGAGCTAGTCACCCATCCAAGAAGTCCTCTCACAAAGCCCAACAATCTCAACCAAACAAAAATCGGGCTTGAATCTCAGATACGCAAACTATGAGGAGGTTTTTTCTTCTCTACTACTGTTTAATTTTTCCTTTATCACTACCAACTTATTTAACTACCAACTCTGAGATATATAAAACATTACATTATGCCTATACTTGCACAGAATGTCTAATAATTAAAATACCTTTTTCTAATTTGACAATTCAGATCGTTCTTTTCTTTTCTTTTTAAATTATGGGTACATAATATATATCTTTATAAGATACATGTGATGTTTTGATACAGGCATATAATGTGAATTAATCAAATCAGAGTAATTGAAGTATCCATGGCACGTATCATTTCTGTGGACTGGGAACATTCTAATACTGCTCATTTTATCTATCTAACTATATTTTTATGCCATAAGGTGGGGATGGCTAATGGATACAAAAAGTACAACTTCTTAACTGAAGAATAGTTTATTTCAGGTAGTACAAACGAAGTTTGCCTAAAATGCCTATAATTTATATATGTGTGCCATGCTTTCTTCTTTGCAGTTAATAAAACTAAAAGGTATAGATTATTCCTTAAAGGAAAATGTAATGTCATTATCAAAGAAAAGAAAGCTTTTAAGGTTTTACTTGTGAGCAATTTAATTTTGTAATTCCTAAAAAAAAAAAAAAAAAAAAAAAAAAAGAGCCAAAATACAGAAATACAAAAGGTTTTGCTTATAAAACTACTTTGGTTAAAACAAAAATGAAATATTTAAAGCTTATCTTGTATCTACAATATGAGTGTTACAAAATCATTAAACCATTCTGATACTGGCCAGAAAATTTTCAAGACGTTAGAAAATGCTCCTAATAAAATGTTGAATGAAAAAAGACATAAAATTAGAGATGGAGCAAAGCAGTTTGTACTTAGTGTACAAGAGCACATGCATACACACGCACACAGAAATACACCAAAATGATAACAGGTTGATAGATTATCTCCTTGACTGGATTATAGGTGGTTTTCTTTTTCTTTTTTTATACTTTATTCCTCAAATTTTCTCAAATGAATATGCACTGCTTTTATAATAGAAAGGGCAGGGGAGGACATTTTAAAAGCATACCTGCTCACCAGTAAAATTGTATAAGGAGGACATGTTCTTCCCATCATAAATATAAACCTGTGCAGGAAATATAAAAGTATATGAAATACAGTAAAATAAGACAACTTAGAAATTTTTTAAGAAACACATTTTAACTTTCCTACCATTCCCAAAGTCCTTGCTGCTCTTGGAACTCCTGAAACAAAATCTGGGGAAAAATATAAAACAAAACAAATTGTTCACTTTTAAGACCAAGATTGAAAATTACAGAAGAAAGTGGCTAAGTCAGAAAGCTGCACATTTTATTACTTGAGTAGAAAATAAATAACAGATTTATAAAAACTGGTATTCCATACTAATAATCCCAGCATTTGTTCTACAAAATCAAAATTTATGAAATATAAAAATATTGTTGAAGATTCTCAAATATATGCAAATAAGCTCTGGAGTCATTTTTAATCTTGTTAAACAAGAACAAGATATGGCCAGGCACAGCGGCTCACACCTGTAATCCTAGCACTCTGGAAGCCAATCCAGGAGGATTAGTCGAGCTAAGGAGTTTGAGACCAGCCTTATAGCAAGAGCAAGACCCTGCCTCTACTAAAAATAGAAAAAGTTAGGCAGGTGTCATGGTGGGTACCAGTAGTCCCAGCTACTGGGGAGGCTGAGACAGGAGGATTGCCTGAGGCCAGGAGTTTGAGGTTGCTCTGTAGGCTGATACCAATGTCACTCTAGCCTGGGCCACAAAATGAGAATCTCTCTCACATAATAAAGTGACCCACAAATGAAGAAAAGCTATACTTAGAGTAATGGAAAATAATACAGAGCAAACTGAAATGTAAAAGTGGCTGTGCCACAGACTGTGATAAAAATCAGGTAAAATCTCTGATTCCTAAACTGAGCTCCTATGGAAGATGGATGAGCAAAGACAGGATGGGATAATAACCTTATAGACAAAGCCCAGAGGTGGCAAATCATGCTTAAAGGAAAGAAAAAACCAAGCCTGTCCCAGGATTGAATTTCCTGAAAACAGGAAGAGGCTTAGGAACTCGCTGAGAGTGCCAGAAATGGGAAAGGAGCAGAAGAAAGAGGCTGAGGGTGGCCATGGAATTTCAGTGCACACTGAGGAAAGTTCACCACAGACCACGCTGGGACTCTCCTCACTGTGCTACTACCACCGCCCTTGTTTCTCCTTCTATATTCCCTAGCAGTGGTTTCAAATTGCTGAACATTTTCAATACAGATGTTTCAAATGTTTAATCTAAATTTATTTAAAAGGATTAAAAATAGTTTAAATACTTCATACCATCTACGCCATCACCATTGAAATCTCCTACAGCCACTGAGTAACCTAAATGGGAAAAGAAAGGTAAAACACCATTAGGGCAAGGAGTAACTACCTTCAGCATTACTGTTGGGTAACCTTTTCTTAAAAATATTTTCAAGTAGGCTCAGCGTCCATAGCACAGTGGTTACCGTGCCAGCCATATGCATCAAGGCTGGCAGGTTCAAAACCAGCCCGGGCCAGCTAAACAACAATAACAAGTACAACAAAAAAACAGCCGGGTGTTGTGGCCAGTGCCTGTAGTCCCAGCTACTTGGGAAGCTGAGGCAGGAGAACAGCTTAAGCTCAAGAGTCTGAGGTTGCTGTGAGCTGTGACGCCATAGCACTCTACCAAGGGCGAAATAGACTCTGTCTCAAAATTTTTTTTTTTTTTTCTGAGTAAATCCTTTAATTATGTAACAGTTTGTCCTCTAGGGGTAACAGAGTCATATGTCTGAAATAAATTTTATAAGCAAATTTGAGTTAAATATGGAAATAGTATCCCTTTATTCAAAAAAGATGATTGTTTTATTAACTTTACAAAGAAATTGGTTAAAAACAGAATATCTACAATTCATCAAAATGAAGCAACAAGTAGATTCTTTTAATCAGCAAGTACTATTTCTGTTACATATGACTTATTCTAATAATTAACTAAGAGAGAAATGTAAAGAGAGAGGACAAACATTACTAAATCCTAAAGACCAAAACTGTAGTTTAAAATAATGAATAAAAGTTCAAGAGTCAGACTGCCTGGGTCTGAACCTCAGAACAGCAAGTTATAAACAAGTGACTCTGGGCAAGTTATTTTGCCTTTCTGTGCTTCAGTGTTCACGCCTACGAAATGAAAGTAATAACAATACATTTTCACAGCCTTGTGAAATGAGCAAATACAGGTAAAGCATGTAGAACAATACCCAGCACATAGGAAAAACATCTTAAAGGTCAGCCATTATTAC